CAGAAAGAAGCTGCATCCAGGCTTTTTTTTTTAAATTGAAAATGGGCGTGGCGTCGCCCACTTATGGACCAAAAACCATATCTCAGGAAGTACTCAACCGATTTTAATGAATTTCGGTGTATAATATTTTCTTAACACCCTAATGACATGTAACAAATATGGGTGAAATCGGTTTACAACCACGCCTGAAATCTCGATTATCACTTTATCATGCGAGAGTATAAAATGTTCGGTGACACCGAACTTAGCCCTTCCTTACTTGTTTTAAATTAGAATCAAGCGATATTTCAAGCCTTAGAGGACGTCATAAGAATGTTATGTGCCAAGTTTGCATCAAATTTTTAAAATATTTTAGCCGAATCTACGTGAATAGTCTAATCTTTGAACTGAATTTACGATTTCTTTATTTCATTTGAGGCATTATTCTTGAGTGATTTTTTGGCAGTTGAAATTGTTATCAATACTACTGTTATTTTTGAAACGGTTGTTTTTACGCGACTTTCTAAGGCTTTTGATGAACCTTATTACTCGTATTTCCTCTTTCATTAATTACATTGTTAAATAAAATGTTTGCACATATTTGTTAGGTTAATCAAAATTCAAAATTTTTTAGTGATCCTCATCGGAGATGAGATTTTCTTAAAAAAATCGTTATCGTTTTGAAGTTGTTCCAAAGTAAAATCAGCAAATTCACGAAGTTTACGGCGATCTAATGGCTTCAGTACTTAATTAAGAACAATTTTAGTCCAAATCCTTTCATAAAATCCGCCCGGTTGTGGTTTAAGACAATCCCACTTCATTCAGAATGCCTTGGAATCGACTAATTGAGGTCTTCAGCGACACTTGCTTGAACGACAGCAATAAATATTTTCATTACTTTGAGCGGTCCTTTGCCTTATTGGCGCGTGATTGTGTAAAGAAAATTTACGCTCGAAATTTTCAACAATGCGACGAATACCGAGCACAGTTGGACGATTATTACGAGCATAAAATGGTAAATGCGCACGAAAAGTTGCGATAGGAGAACGATTATTTTGATAATAAAATTTCTAAATTTCTAAAATTTCTAAATGTTATTCTTGCGTATATCTTCCCTTGAAAATTTTGTAAACATTACTGAATACAATGAAAAAACAAGTAAGGAAGGGCTAAGTTCGGGTGTCACCGAACATTTTATACTCTCGCATGATAAAGTGATAATCGAGATTTCAGGCGTGGTTTGAACCGATTTCACCCATATTTGGTACATGTCATCACGGTGTTAAGAAAATATTATACACTGAATTTCATTGAAATCGGTTGAGTACTTCCTTAGATATGGTTTTTGGTCCATAAGTGGGCGACGCCACGCCCATTTTCAATTTAAAAAAAAAAACTGGATGCAGCTTCCTTCTGACATTTCTTCCGTAAAATTTAGTGTTTCTGGTGTTTTATGTTAGTCGGTTAACGCACTTTTAGTGATTTTCAACATAACCTCTGTACGGGAGGTGGGCGTGGTTATTGTCCGACTTCTTCCATTTTTGAACTGTATATGGAAATGCCTAAAAGAAACGACTCTATATAATTTGGTTGTAGTAGCTGTAGTAGTTTTCGAGATATGTACAAAAAAGTTAGTAGAGGCCGGGGCTATGCCCACTTTTCCAAAAAAATTACGTCCAAATATGCCCCTCCCTGCGATCCTTTGTGCCAAATTTCACTTTAATATCTTTATTTATGGCTTAGTCATGGCACTTTATAGGTTTCCGCCATTTTGTGGGCGTTGCAGTGGGCCGATTTTGCCCATCTTCGAACTTAACCTTCTTATGGAGCCAAGAAATACGTATACCAAGTTTCATCATGATATCTCAATTTTTACTCAAGTTACAGCTTGCACAGACGGACGGACAGACGGACAGACAGACATCCGGATTTCAACTCTACTCGKCACCCTGATCACTTTGGTATATATAACCCTATATCTGACTCTTTTAGTTTTAGGACTTACAAACAACCGTTATGTGAACAAAACTATAATACTCTCTTTAGCAACTTTGTTGCGAGAGTATAATAAAAATACAACAGCTTATGATATATTAAAAACAACCGAAAAGATACTTTTAAATCCGGTGATTCCAGCAAATGAGCTTCTTGGGAAGGAAAGTATGTGTGCATTCAAATTTTAGATCGATATCTCGAAAACTTCGAGTTGAAAAGTTGTAAAATGCTCATTCTAGGTCACAATGAGAATCATGATTAAAACTTTTAGGTTTACTTACAATTTTAAAAGAATGTAATTAGTTAGATTTGTTTTCCAATATTCAGTGAATACCTTTAAAAATCAATCACACTAATTTTGCCATCGTTATTTCTCATTTCAGACAAACCGACGTTTCGATATCACCAATTACTGTTTGGAAGCCCTGTTATTATAAACATTCGGTAAATTTAAGTATTTGCAAAAACAAAAAAAAAAACAAAAAATCAAAAACACAAAAATTATAGAAACTCCAAAGCCGTGATATTAGATATTTTCGATTTTACTATAACATATATATACACCGTATACAATTTATCGGTAACTATATTCGTCCAAAATTTTTAATAGTTATACATTATACACTGCGAAATTACGGACTATTTGTACAAAGAAAATATTAAATTAAGAACGTAATTTAGTGATTAGCCTGATAAATAATATAAATTCCGTCGTAAGTAAAGTGCCTCCAATTTCTACAAAAGAAAAATTATAAAAAATTAAAAAATAAAATTAAAAACTAGTTAAACATAAACTAAGAACTGTTAATATAATAATTAAGTGCTTTAGTGAACACAGAGAGAGAAGATAAAGTAAAAAACAAAAAATAACCGTATAGTGCAATAACGTAAAGTAATTTATCGCTGACTCGAACCGTCACTGCCTTACCAGCCGAATCGGTAGAAAAATTACCGCACAGCGCAGCTCTCTCTCTTACCGACTGACAGAATACTTTTCACGAGCGTGGCACACAAACACACGCTGGCACTGGCGGAAGTTTGCAGTGGCTCTGCCTTATCGGCGATGCCATTTATCGATGACGCACTACTTTGGTGTCCGGATAATGATGGTCGTATGGTTGGTGGCTTAGATATCGCTCCATGCATGCAAGTGCGTATACTACGCCTCAAAGCAGGCTATACATATTTGATTATTTAACCGTCGATAACACTGTTTAATTTGTAAAATTAATGAGCTTTCTATCTTACTTCGCTTAGGAGGAAGCCGCCACTGGCAACAACAATGAGAATGGCAACGAATCTACACAACTCGATGAACGCAACACGGAGCTAAATTCACTTGAACCGCTATGCACTGAGTCTTCCGATGAACTATTCCGCCAATTGTCTGAAAGCAATTTCGAAATCGAGAGCTTACTATCGGACCTGGCCACAGTTGAGGTTAAAGTAAATAGCAATTTTATTTGAATTTGAAATTAGTCTAACGTGTATATTACACTTACCCCCGAATCCCTCTTTTTTTATTTCAAAATACTTCTTCCTTTCTTTGCAATATTCTATTGAAGGAGGAAAACAACAACAGCATTGGTGAACAAGTAGTGGCCGATAGTTTCGTATCGTCGTTGGAGGCCTCAACTGTTGTTGCCAATGGTGTACTTAGCCCTGCTTGCGCTAATACAAATGGTTCGGCGGGTGGTGGAGATGTGGACATAACGATAGAGGGTGCTGCCGAGTCCACTTTATTAGCGTTAACTTCACACTGCGAATCGCTCACTGCGAAACCATTAAGCCAAAGTCAAAAACCAACAGCGAATGCGCATATTGGGCGCCGCGAGGACCTAAGAGGCAGTAATTCTTATGTGAGCAGCAGCAGCAGCAATGAGAATGTGACGCATGCGCATGAGGCGAATGCGCGACGCTTCTTAATTGCGTCCAATCCGTTGCTTGCCGAAAAATTACTGGCCAAAAGCATCATCAACACGGACAATAACAACAGTGCGCCGCTGAAAACGACAGAATTCGATGGTAAGTGCAAACATTTTTTTTTAATGAGTTTCTGAACGCGATTACGATTAGACGGCAATTAGGCTAGAGAGCTCACAGATAACAAATTTATATTGGCTACTAAGCGTTTTGCTAATTTATAAGTTTGGAAACGGGAGTGTTTCTTTGCTGTGACCTAACCTAACATCTTGTAAGGAAGTATAGTTATGAGAGGTACAGTTTGATTATTAGAATTATTTCAGTTGGTCCTATACGAGGTGTGTTCAAAAAGTACCGCGTATTTCGATTTTTACCTATTCAAAAAAATGGATCAAAGAACCTTTATCAAATTTTGTGTGAAAAACGAAATTAAGTGCGCGGATGCATTCCGAATGTTGACTGTGGCATAMGGAGAAGCTACCTTGTACCGAAGCAACGTTTATCGGTGGTACAAAATGTTCTCAGAAGGCCGAGAAGATGTGACAAAAATTGGCTTTTGCATCACGATAACACCCCTGCTCACACATCGTTGCTTGTGCGCGACTTTTTGTCCAAAAACAACACAGTAATGATGCCGCAGCCACCGTATTCCCCAGATCTGGAACCCTGTGATTTTTTCTTGTTCCCTAAAGTGAAGAGACCCATGAAATGACGACGTTACGCTTCTCTTGACGAGATAAAGACGGCATCGAAGGAGGAGCTGAAGAAGATAAAAAAAAAATTATTTTTTGAAGTGCTTCGAAGATTGGAAAAACCGTTGGCACGAGTGTATAATATCTCATGGGGATTACTTTGAAGGGAACAAAATAGATCTTCATGAATAAATAAATAATTTTTGAAAAAACACAAATACTTTTTGAACACACCTCGTACATATTTTCGTTTACAAATCACTCATACGCACTCGTGTTTCAGCGCTAACAATAACGAAATTTCGCTCACAGCGCCAATTAACACTATTAAAGCTAATACAATCTGTATCGTCAACTAGAATGAAAAATAACGTAACCTCACTTTTTTTAAGTTTACAAGTGAAGGAAAAACGATATAATAGAAAGCACTCATATTGAAACAAAATTTTAGTTTTGGTTAGAATATTGGTTATACATACATATATTCGTTATATATTGGTTATATATTTGTTATGTATTGGTCATAAATTGGTTATATATTTTTTATATATTGGTTATATATTAGTTATATATTGGTTATGTATTGGTTATATCTGAGCGGAAGCTATAAAAACTCAATTTCGAAATTTTGATGATTTGTTGCTTTGCATTGATGAACCATATAATCATACTTCGTATTGAAATTGTAATGAGGAAAGAAAATGTCTGCAGAAAAGTCAAATTTCCACGTAAATTCCACATCTTGGAACAATGTTATGGGTAAACTTAAAAAAAAAAAAAAAAAAAAATTTTGTAACTGTTGGTGACAGTTTTGTTATTTGTATCTGCCGAAGTCTGCTATACAATTTTTCTATTTTCACCGCTTTTACTGATTCCTAGTTTCGCGCTCACATACATATATGTACATATATACATGTATGTACATGCATATGTGCGCACTGCTGACCTTGAATAAAATCTGAGTTTGTTAAACCATAGCCAGACGTAAGTTCATGAAACTCTGTCTGTGGTACCACTTTACCACACCGTTGTCGGCGTTTCCTTTTCCTAAAGCAAACGGCACATATATACTAAAGTGTATTTGTAGATGAGAGCAATTTTAGCGAGCCTGGAAACCCAACACAACAAAAGTATTTTAATGCAGTTAACACATGCATACACATATAAGGCAGACCTAGGGATACGATAGGGATATCGTTTTGGGTGTGTAGCAGCGGTGAGTGCCAGCAAGCGGAAGAAGATCTCACTGCCTTAAAACTGCGGATAATAGCACATTATATACATATAAATGCGCTAAGCGTTAGAGACGTGGCGAATGACGAGGTCGACAATGACGAAGAAGAAGCAGGCGTCGCAGCGCCTACTGCGAACCACACTGATTGCCGCCAAGAAGGCAACAATCCAGACAAGTCAAAGAACAAATAAGACGACTGTGACGACTAGCGACAAACCGAGACGCACCAGACAACAAATTCGTGCGGAGTACAGCACATAAATATACATACATACCTGCATATGTATGTATGCGCGAAAGTGACAGACGTGCTTAGTTTGGCGTCCTGCAGTCAACGCACGTCCGTTTTATTTTGGTGGGTTTTGCGAGCTCCGGCGTACCTTTTGCCAACGTCCTTATAGACTTGAAAAGCAAAAAAAAAAAAAAAATTGTGCTTGATGACTGAAGCGTTGGCCGGCGGGCTGTGAGGTCGCTTTCTATTGATATCTACTCGGATATTTGTCTGCGAGTGCTAACAATGTCAGGTCAATAAATTCTCAGCGTGAGCATGAACGTTCAAGGTCAAAAGGATATTGCCTCTTTCCGCGTATGGTCTCGACCAAACCGCCAGACGGATGGGTGTGCAACTTTTCGCCACCAGCGAACACAAATGTATAATGCAACAAAATGAGCGAAAATTCGAGAGCAGCAACAAACAACAACCGTTATATTACCCAGTTGTGAATAAAATGTTATTTTCCGCACTCATTTCACTTTCACTCGCTTCTATTTGCATAGACTTTTTCGGTTGAATCACACAAAAAAAGTGGAACCATCATGGGGTGTGTGTTCGCTATGGAAAAAGGGCCGTCTGCGCTCTTTTGATTGGCAGAGAAAATTGTTTGTTGTCTGTTGTTTGTTGCCGAAATGAGTTCACTGAAGCAAGCTGCTTCGTAGCGGGTGGGTATGACTTCTTGGGGGGGCCGAACAGGCAGTGATGATGAATTTTATGGCAGAATTTTGTTCAGCGATTTGGCTGCTGCTTCGTCTGCCATCCTGATAGATGGTGCACAGTGCAGCTGTGTCGTCTGAGGCTGCGTCTCGGTTTGCGCCTAACCACTTTACAAGGCTCGGCAGACCCTCTTCTGCTATACGCCTATGATTTCGCAGTGCCTCTCCTTCCTTTTTCAGTATACATAACGGTGTGTTGGTATGCATGGGGTACCCTACCTAATCATCCACGTTTGTATGCGACGCATTTCGATGTTTGCGTAGCGTCGGTGTGTCGGTTTATGATTTGGTGTACGTGCCGTCAACGCTGGTGTGGGTGTGTCAGACGGCAGAACCTAAAAATGAAATTGTGTCCTTTTTATATACTTAGACACGACGACTATGACGCGATGACGCGACGACGCTTGTCGGTTTGTCGTTATTGTGGGCCGTTTACCCGATGTGCGTAGGCCTCCCCACGCATTCACAAATAACCGTTTGTCATATGCGCGTGTAAACGTCTGTCTGGGCTACGTTTTGTTCAATTTTTCGGGCGGTTGTTTAAGTATAGGATTTTCTGCGTAAAATAAAAATGAGGAATCATTGGGCGACTGCCTTGGAGTTTTCCGTAGGCAAGGCGTCGTCGCTTAACCTTGAACTTGAAATTTAGTATTTCAGTCAACAAAACACAAAAACAACACACACGTGTGCCATGCAAGTGTGTGCTTAGATATACATACATACTTACATGTGTTTGGAGTGTAAGTGCTCAGACTGTCGTATAAATGTTTATACGTGTAAATTTTACTTGTGCTAACAAATCGATGTCTGTGCTTTTCGAACGCCGCGCATGCTGGCGTACATTGGCATCAGCTGGGCGGTGGCCGACAAATTTGGCCTAGTCGGAGTAGGGTTGATGTTGCTGAACCTTTGAGCCTTCATAATATGTATGTATGTAAATTGTAAAGCAAACCAAATAGCAAGCATACAAGGAAGATTTTCTATACTGAGCATTGATTTGAGTTTGAGTTAAAGGCATTAGATTTTACTGCGGTAATATTTTAAAATAAATGGTACTTGTTTGTTTAATAGACTTATGTACTTTACCCATATAAGTCTGTATATATATATTTATAGATACAGTTTTGTAAAGGGTTATGAATTATTTGGAATATTGTCTCGTATATTTATAATTGTCGTAGAGAACTATAGTCGGTCGGATTTCGAACAATCCACTTATCCAAATCCGTAAGTTTTCTCATATCCTCTTGCTGTGTTTATACTATAGGTATTTGCCTGCATCGCTGAACTATTAAACTTCTAATAGCTTCACATAAATTTTTATAAATTATTATATACATAAAATATTAAACGATACAATCCCCGAACATTCTGTTCAGATCGGACCTCTATGGCATATAGCTGCCATACAAACTGACAGATACAAAACAAGTCCTTGTATGTGAAAACATGTTTTTTTGACGACATTTCTTCACGAAATTTAGCATGTATTATTATCAAAGTCAGCGCTACAATCTTCGAAGAATTTATTGAGATCAGATCACTACAGCATATAGCTGCCGAACAAACTGACCGATCTAAAGCAAACACTTGTATGGAAAACTTGTGTATTTGACGAGACTTTTCTACGAAATTTAGTGTGGATTATTGTTCAAGTCAGCGCAACCATCTCCTAAGAAATTGTTGAGATCGGATCACTATATGCTAATAACGGGTTCTCCTGTAGAGACGCTACAAAAGCAGACCGATAGCAACAGCAAACGACGTTATATTTTTTCCTGCTCTTTTGAAAATTCTCATCAGTAAAGTTTGCCATTTCATCATGGAAAGAACAACCACGAACCAATATTATTAAAATTGACTACCAAAATTGGAAATCAGTAAACTTTAAGAGCGCTACGTTCAATTTATGTTCGTCATGATTGTCCTGTTAGATCAATAATTGAGCGTATGGTGGAAAAATGTTAATCCACAGACACAGTACAAGGTATTCTCGTGCCATTGAGACAAGGAATTGCCCGTACTGTTGAGAATATTGTTGCCGCTGGCGCATCAATTGAATAAGACCCAAATCAGTCTCTCACAAGTCGTTCTCAAGCGTTGGACATCTCTGTGACGTCGTTATGCGTTATTGATCAGGCAGCAATCCACATGTACTCCATGAGTCACCATTGCATAACTAAAAA